TACACTCTAAACTACTTCTACCCAAATTTTCAAGAAAACATACCCAGTGGGTAATTTTCTACCGCGTTTTTTTCGTGATGCAATTTGATGTGGGACACCCCATACACGGCCAATGATGTTAACTCAAAACTGAGTCGAATCTAACTCAAAATTAGCGAAAAATGGGTTACTTAGTAAATAAGTAAAAACAAAGGAAAATCCATGAACCCCTCATTTTATCTGTCAAACTTTCATAGCGAATCAAAACAAACATTGTGTAGTACTAGAATTTCGAGTAGCATGGGGTAGGCTAATCGATTTGTTTGGGACCAATAGGCTAGTCAAGCAGTGAGCCAATTTAAAATTGTTAGTTTCCACCAGGCTTGCCAAAAGCTCCATCAAGAGTCATCAATAAGCTGAGCTCCAGCATATTTTGATGATGATATATTTTGCTCTCACGGAGCTATACTTGATGCTCAAGCTGGGCTCTTGCCTACCCGCATCGCTGAGAGGGATGCGGAGCTCGTTCTCAGGTGTACATCGACTCTGCCTACCGAGCAGAAATTTTAACTTCGTGATGCGCTCGCGCAAAGCAGTAAACTTGGAGCTTCGTGATGTATTCGTAGAGAGCATGGCTTTTGATGGCTTTTCCCAGTGCGCATGAATGAGTGATTTTGTGTTGTATTCGAGAAAGAAGTGCACAACCAAGAAATTTAAAAAAAAAATGGAACGTATGCATATCTTCCTTAACTTCAAAGTGGCAATTGTATTCGTAGGATAACTGTGTATATTCTCGGTAAACGCCCCTATTTTAGGCAAATCATAATAGCTCGTGTTTGTAAACTTAACCACGATTTCGGCATTTCAACTGTCTCGTATAGCGGATCATCTCTTGGGTTGAAAACTAAAATCGCAATTGAAATTCAAGAGATATTAGGCTATGCTGGGAATACATACATAGAGTCGTAGATACAAAAATTCTACGTGTTTCTATCATGTATGAGTTGCACATTGCAAATTTAATGCTATGCTGAATTTTGAGGTAGAGCAAATGCATTTTTTACCCAGCTAAATATTTAAAATGTTAATCAATGAACGCGTGATAATTATAATACCTATAATTATCATACGTTCATTGAATAACGTTTCAATCAACATTGATTTAAATTTCTTTTCAAATTGAAGTTGTGTTTTGTTTTAATTTTTTTCTCACAAGATTTACACTTTAATTCACCATCTACTGAATCTCCTAACTTGTTGAAGAACAGAGCCGTACCAAAATTTGATTTGCGTTTCTGCGACATCAACAACGATATGCGACAACGCTACACCAACAATTGAAATAGGCGGAACAACCAAACGTAAACAATTGTTTTTAACACAAATTCCTCGAAAATCAAAGCACATCCAAACAACCTAATACCATCATCTGATAGAGCAAACTTCCTTTATCGAATGTCAATTTTAGTTTACGTGGTAGTGCTTTGATTCTCGAGAATTATTTGTTTAAAACCATTGCTTACGTTGGGTTGTTCAGCCTATTTCAATTGTTGTTGGTCCAGAAAGATTTCCGAGCTACCGTGTGTGCAGCGAGAGTAGCAAATTGAATGAATGAACATGTTAAAAGGCAACAGGAGAATACGAAAACACCACCAAGGGATAATCCATAAACGTAGTAATTAGTACTTTTACTATTTTCGTCAGAAATATAATTTCGTATATCCACTCATAAAGCACTTAGCGGAAAAAACGATCAAAGATTATTGTGACTGAGTTTGAGTAACCCAAAAAGTGGTTCCCAAGTTTAAAAACATCAATCTCTTAAAATGTTACGTTATCTGGGAATGGTCCTATAGTCCATTGAATGTATTGTTGTGTTGTTGTGTATCATAATATTGAATGGAAGAACCGTGCATCAATCAAAGGCCGTGCGTGCTCTCTCCGAAAGTATAACGAAGCTCATCGTTTCACCGAGTCCATCCCGAAGTTCAAAATGTTGTTTGGTGAGCAGAGCCGATGTAAATCATTCCTCACCCAAGAACGACCCCGCATCACTCATCGTGATGCGTGTTTGTGGAAGTCCAGCTTGAGCATCAATCTGAGCTCGAGCTCTTTTGCGCTCTTTGGATTTGACATCATTGCTCTTTATATGTGAGGGATGAAATAGCTCACGATAAATGAGCATCTATACGGCATAATCTGAGTTTGAGGAGTTTAGGCAAGCCTGGTTTCCACCCGTTGGTAGAACCCTGTTGAATAGCTAAAATTGTATTTAATCGGCGCTCACTTTGAATTTGTTTAAGAGGTACCCCTACACACTCATAAAATAAATCACATAACCAGTGGAAAATATCCATGTGAATTTCACATAACTCTCATGTGATCCCATTATTGGAAATTGCACCACTAAATCACATGATTTCTCATATAGAATTTCTTATGCTATGTGATCTTGAGATAAAAATAATTATTTTTGTTATTGGAAAAATATTATGTGCGTTCCTAATAGAAACTAAGTGAAAACTTTTTTCAGTGCAGTGCCCAATGCGAGGGGAGCGACTCTATCTCCGATGCAGGAAAGATTGTGTTTTGCTGTGGCTAGCTGCGCACTAAGCAGATAGAAAGAAGATTGATGATGATGATTCTGAATATTTCCTGCAAAAAGATGATGCGCGATGCAAGTAGATGCGAGAAGATGCGAGAAATGAAAGATGATTTTCCGAAGATTAATTCGCTAATGTGAGATTTTTTAAGAATCAAGAATTGAGATTTAGATGTGTCGCCCCCCTCGGCCCAATGGCGTTTCTCAATGCAATACAATTTTGAGTTACAGTCGACTCAAGTATTGGGCTACTTTTATCGACAAAGAAGTTTTTCTCGCTTTTCGTCATTTTCGAGCAGATTAGTGAGGAAAATTTTGTTACTGATCCTCAGAAAATTTGGTATTTGGTAAAGTAAAGAAGAAGAAGAAGAGTCAGCACTCCGCAGCTGTAGAACTGCTTTACACTAAAAAAAAATCTCGAAGTAAAATCAAACACAAAATTTAAATAATGTTAAATGCAAAATGTAGATTGTTAAATGTTGAATTTAGATTTTAAATTCAAAATGTTGAAATTCTTATTTTTAAATATTAAATGGTAAATATATAGTTTTAAAATGTTCGTGAATTTTTCATTTGTTTATTAATGTTTGTTAAACTTTGAAGAATTTTGAAATTTTAAATGCCCTAATTTATTTTTAAATTTTAAATTATTACTGTTAACTGCTCAATTTAAACTTTGGAATGTTAAATGATGGATGTAAAATGATAAATATTGCATGCTCCATTTTAAATTTTGTGTTATGATCGTAATTTTTTTAAATTTTCAATGCTATATGATGAAATCTAAATATTAAATGGAAAATCTTCAATGTAAATGTGAAATGTTAACTGCGAAATGTTTACAATGTTATGGATTATGTTGAATTTTTATTCATGAAATTAGGTTCCATATGATTCATATTAAATGTTCAACACATGCTAAATGGGAATTATTCCAATGTTTAACTATTAATCGTATAAAATATAATATAACCGAGCCAGGATTTTGTCAACCGCCCGAGAGTAGTATCTGAAGGAGGCTTAAGAAACCAATTTCCTACCTAGCTCCTTCCAATCGAAATTGTTACCCATTAACCTCGAGCCCGCCACGAGTAATTGGTACCCAACACTAACTTAGAGCTACTGCTGTTTAAAATGTAAGTTCAAACATTAATTATTTTTGGCTCCGCAAAGAGTAACACATGACTGAGCCTAGTAAATAAACGAACTAGTGAAAAAAAAAAATCATATCAAAGTAGAAACAGCCATTTGGAAACTAACCATTAAAATTTCAATATATTTAGATATTATCAATTTAAATTCAACCCTTAAATAAAAAAAATTGCTTTCTCAGTACAGTCCAGTGCGGTCGAACTCGGTGGACGAATAACTTGCAGCGTCAGTCAAATTTGTCTTTTTAAATGTTCAGTGATGTCATGGTGGTTAGAACTGGTGACCGTACAGGGTAACCAGCTATTGAAAATAAACATTATTAATCTCTATTTCCTACAAAGGAGCAAAGGATAATTAAAAATGAGTAACCGGTTTCAAATTTACAATGAAAAACGAAAACAAAGAGGAAATGAAGGTCACACTTGCTCACTGTCAATGCGTGTGTTAATTCAGTTCGGTAATAATTTTTTACCATTTTTGCGTAGTTTTGAATCATTTATGAATAATTAATCAAAATGTATTATTCTGTTTCTCCACACGGCGAATGAGAACAACTCAAATTTGAGTTTAGTTCACTCATAATCGCCAAAAGTGCAGAAACTCAGCGATGAGTAAATTTACCTCATGTTTTCCCAGGTTTTTCCTGAATTTGAGAAAAAGTAAAGATTGGATTCACTCAGTCTATTGGTACTACTCCGAGACTGAATAAAATTTTCGTCAATTTCCTCATTTTCCGGCAGATTTTTTAGGTTTTCCACAGGAAACAATGAGACAAATTTTACTCATCGCTGAGTTCCTGCACTTTTGTCGATTATGAGTGAACTAAACTCAAATTTGGGTCATTCTCATTCGCCGTGCATGTAGACAAAATGTGTCAGCAAGGAGAAATGATCACAGGAAGTAGGAGGCGCAAACAAAAGACTGAATTGGGTACACGCTAACTTGAAAGTACTCATTAATGAGTAAAAAAAGACCCATTTTGAAGAAAAGTGGCTTAACTCATTAATGATTAAACAATTTTACCCATTAATGAGTATCTGTTACCCATTAATGATTAACAATTACTCATTAATGGGTAACAGATACTGTTGAGTACGCCCCTGGCGCAGATGCGCACCTTCCCATCCAAGACACCTTGCCTACACAAACATCAACGCACCCAGGTATAGTACGCACCTTCTCTCCAAAGACGTTGGGCAAACGTCACGGATAAACAATGGATAGTAGGCAAACGCCAAAAAACATAAAACAACAATTTAACGTGCGGCATCAATGAGTTTGCGGTCTAAATTTAGTTAGTTTTTTCCATTGAAAGTTCAAGTCATTAAATTAAATTACTAGTGTAAAATCAGCTAGGTATAATTCTATTTCTAAAATTCGTTAAAATTATTATTTACAATTGATACCTTTTCCATAGTGTTTGATAAAAACTAGTGAACTTATCATAACCTAAAATCTACTTACATCCTAAACCTACAGTGAAGGTAAAATTTATAATCTAAAATACTAAGTAAATACTTAAATCTAGATTGCTTTAGTACGGTTTATAGGATTCAGTACGGATAAATTGTTTGCTAGATTGCCTGTTACGACGGCCACCGACAAAACGAGACGATCTCGTGCGACCCGTAATTTCGATCGCTTGCAAGTGTAGCACAACGGGACTAAACGTAAGTTACAAAAGAAAATTACTAATGGACTAATATTAAGATGCAAACATGTTCACTAACGTTACATCCTTCCTGAACCTTTTTCCAGGAATATAATAATATAATTAATGAACGTAAATCCCACGTCTTCGGTAGTTCTAATATTATTGTATTGAAAATCTCCCTGCGTAAGTTGGCAAATTCCCAACATCTTATTATATTCGTTTATTGGCGAATAAACACGGTCAAATACGGTCATGTCGAGTCGCGGTCGGTCAAATAAAGGCAGTAACGAAGGTAATGAACGTGGTACAATTAGTGGTGTGCAAGTGGTGGTCACCAACGAAACGGTCGAACCGGAGGCATCATTTCCAGGCCAGTCATGCAGAGTTTGCCGTGGAAAGGACACCGATGAAATGGTGAGGTGTGATCAGTGTCTGAAATGGTTTCATTTTAACTGCGTAGGAGTTAGCCAAGACATTGAGAACAAGCCATGGAAGTGTCTAAACTGTGTTAAGTTGCAACTAGTACCAGATACCCTTTCATCTGCAAGCAACACACTTTCTGTGCTGGGTGGTGCAAGAAAGAAGAAACCAGTGGAAACAGATGGCGATCCTGTTGCAGATCCTCTTCAGCACGACTCCAAGAAGAAACATCAGTCTAAGGAGGGCAACGTGAAAGCGAAGTCAATGGTAACTCATGCGTCAAGCCGAGCGTCTAGCAGAGCATCACAAACTCTCGCCAAGCTAAAGCTACAGAAGCTGGAGGAGGAAAGGACCCTGAACGAGAAAAAGTTGGAGCAGGAACAAATCTATCTGGAGGAAAAGTACAAACTACTGGAGGAGATGGCTAGCGAAGCTGGTTCGAACGCGAGTAGCGTGTCGGACGTCGTAAGAAACTGGCTCCCACAAGCGCAATCAAGTCATCGCTCACAATCGGAAAATCAACCGTTGGCAGTTCACCCCCTCGATGATTCCCCTAGAACCAATAATGGCAACCATCAACCCAGACCATTCGCCGATGGACAACCGGAACGTGAAGAAGATCGCTTCTCGCTAACAAGGAAACAATTAGCGGCGCGACAGGCTATTTCCAAGGATCTGCCCCAGTTTTCCGGCAACCCTGAGGATTGGCCTCTATTCATCGCGACGTTCAACAACACAACGGCCATGTGTGGCTTCACTAACGACGAGAACATCTTTCGACTGCAGAAAAGCCTGAGAGGACGAGCCTTTGAAGTGGTGAAGAGCCGGTTGGTACACCCTGCCAATGTTCCTGGTGTGTTGAAGACGCTGAAAATGATGTTCGGTCAGCCAGAAGCCATCGTTCAAACGCTCATCGAGAAAATTCACTCCCTGCCGGCCATAAGAGAGGATAGGCTAGAAACTCTAGTGGATTTCGCTGTAAATGTGGAGAACTTCTGCGCGACCGTAGACGCCTGTGGCTTGGAAGAATACCTGTATAACACGACCCTCCTACATCAGCTTGTGAGCAAGTTACCTCCAACAATCAAGCTGAACTGGGCGCAGTACAGGATTTCACTGCCGGGAGTCAACTTAGCATCTTTTAGTTCCTGGATCTATTCCCTCGCGGAGGCCGCTAGCATAGTGACTATTCCAAGCATCACGAGCTCCAAGCCAGTAAGGAATGACAGAAGTGGAACAAAGAAAGGAAGTGGCTTCGTGAATACTCACTCGGAAATCACTGCAGAACCTCCAAGTGGGAAGAATTCCAGTGCTAGTAACGAGTGCCCCGTCTGTAAAGGAGCTTGCAAAGCGATTGACAAGTGCAAGCGCTTTCTTGAATTCTCTCGCGACTCACGTTGGGCTATAGTGCGCGAATATTCACTGTGTCGCCGTTGCCTCTGCCGTCACAATGGAGTGTGTCAGGCCAAACTCTGCGGAAAAAATGGATGTCAGTTCAAGCATCATGCTCTCCTGCACAACGACCATTATCAACAATCGTCGCCAGCTACATCAGCGACGTCGCCATCTTCAACAACAGCACCCTCGACGAGTGGCAGTACGGAACATCCCAAAACAGGAACTAGTTCAACAGCGCACGGTTGCCACACGCATCAAACCAAATCAAGCGACATACTGTTCCGTTATATTCCGGTAGTTCTGTACGGAAAACGTGGATCGATCCGAACACACGCATTCCTCGACGACGGCTCCGATCTTACATTGCTGGACGAAGAGTTAGCTGACGAACTAAAGCTGGATGGAGAAGTCAGGTCGCTTTGCCTACACTGGACCGGCGGCACGCAGCGTCAAGAAGTGAAGTCAAGGGTCGTCGAACTGGAAGTAGCCGGTGTACACAGCGGAGCCAAAAGTTTCACCATCAGTGGTGCACGAACAGTAAACGAACTTCTGCTTCCGTACCAGACGATGGACATCGAGGAACTATCATCTTTGTACCCGCATCTGCAAGGGCTTCCGATCGACTCATACCACGGTGTTCGGCCACGGATCCTGATTGGACTTAAGAACCAGCATCTCAGCCTTCCTCTCAAGTGCCGCGAAGGCAATCTAAGCGATCCCATCGCCATTAAGACTCGTTTAGGCTGGACAGTGTGCGGTGGATGCACGGCAGAACCTGCAATCAGCCCGGTGCACTCCGTCTACCACATCGGTTCTTGCGAGGACCAACACAGTTCAGATGAGGATCTACACCAAGTCCTCAAAGATTACTTTGCGCTGGATAGCTTGGGGATTATGAAGCCACAACACGCACCTATCTCCGTCGAGGATCAACGAGCACATTCTCTTCTCAATTCACTCACGAGGTTCACAGGGGAACGCTACGAAACTGGCCTACTTTGGCGTTACGACACAGTACGTCTACCGGACAGCCGAGAGATGGCTCTACGACGTTTCCAATGTCTAGAAAAGCGTATGCAGAAGAATGAAACACTCACCAAAACGTTGAAGGAGAAAATGGTGAACTATCTGAGCAAAGGCTACATACGGAAACTATCTGATGAAGAGTTGAGCCAATCGTTTCAGCGTGTTTGGTATCTTCCAGTGTTCCCGGTGACAAATCCAAACAAGCCGGGAAAGGTGAGGATCGTGTGGGATGCAGCAGCCAAAGCATTCGGAGTATCACTGAACTCTGTGTTGCTGAAGGGCCCCGATCATCTTTCATCACTATTTACTGTGCTGATCCGCTTCTGCGAGCATCCTGTAGCTCTGACAGGCGACATACGTGAAATGTTCCACCAAGTGTTAATTCGGGATGAAGACCAGCAGAGTTTGCGGTTCTTCTGGAGAGATGAGGATGGACAGATAGCAATATACGTAATGTGCGTCATGACATTCGGTGCTTGCTGCTCTCCTAGCAGCGCCCAGTACGTGATGAACTTGAATGCTGCACGCTTCGATCAGGAATATCCAGCTGCTGTGGAGGTAATTAAGAAGCAGCACTACGTAGACGACATGTTGGTGAGCGTAGACACCGAAGAAGAGGCCATCAAGCTCGCTCAAGATGTAAAGTTCGTACACTCGGAGGGTGGGTTCGAAATCCGTAATTGGACCAGTAATTCTCTGCGCGTCCTAGAAGCCTTACGTGGAAGCAACGCTGAGGAGAAGAACTTGGACCTCTCACCAGAAATGGCAACCGAAAAGGTGCTCGGGATGTGGTGGTGTACATCGGCAGATGTCTTCACCTTCAAAGTCGGTTGGGACCGCTACGATCGCGACCTGTGGGAAGGCCGCCGTCAGCCTACGAAACGGGAGGTTCTACGGGTCCTCATGAGGATATTCGATCCCCTTGGACTCATTGCGCCGTTCCTAATGTTCCTCAAGATCCTGCTACAGGAAATCTGGCGAAGCGGCATCCAGTGGGATGACAAGATCGACGGCAATGCCTTCGCCAAATGGTGCAATTGGCTGCAAGTCCTGCCCCAAGTTGAACAAGTCCGAGTAGCACGATGTTTCCGCTCTCATCTTCTTCCCGGATACCATGATGTTCAACTGCACACGTTTGTAGATGCGAGTGAGAACGGTATGGCTGCCGCATGCTTCCTGCGCTTCGATCAGGCTGGAACTGTCCGATGCTGCTTAATTGCCGCCAAAACAAGAGTTGCCCCCTTGCGATATCATTCGATTCCACGGCTCGAGCTCATGGCAGCAGTTATTGGTACAAGGCTCTCCCAAACGGTCCTCAGCTCCCTGTCCTTCAACGTGAGCAAGCGATTCTATCACTCGGATTCCAGGGATGTGATTTGCTGGCTGTATTCGGATCATCGTCGCTACACACCATTCGTTGCCTGTCGAGTCGGTGAGATCTTGGAGTCAACAGAACCGAACCAATGGCGTTGGGTTCCAACCAAGTTAAACGTCGCAGATGATGGCACGAAATGGGAGAAATTCCCGGACATGACTCCAGAATCCAGGTGGTTCATCGGGCCAGATTTCCTGCGGGAACCGGAAGAAGCATGGCCATGTCAAATAGCGAAAGGAAGCAAGACAGACACTGAACTTCGTCCCTGTCTGCTAACCCATTTCACCGTGCCAGATCCACCGATCAACGTTTCCAGCTGGAAGCGGATGGTCAAAGTAGCTGCCTTTGTGCATCGTTTTGCGGCAAATTGTCGCCTAAAGAAGCAAAAGAAACCTGTTCATTGTGGTCCACCTTCCGCAGAGGAACTGCAGATCGCCGAGCGCTACGTGATACGCCAAGCCCAACGAGAAGCCTACCCGGACGAAGCAGCTATTCTGAAATCGGTGAACGGATCGCCGAAGCCCATTCCCAAGACCAGCCCGTTGTTTAAACTGACACCCTGGCTGGACGACCACGGACTGATGAGGATGCGGGGAAGAATTAGTGCCTGTACGCTAGCCACCGAAGATGCTAAAAACCCGATTATCCTCCCACGTGACCACCACACTACCAATCTTATTATTGCACACTATCACACTAAGTACCACCACCAAAACCATGAGACCGCTATAAATGAGCTCCGACAGAGGTATTGTATACCTCGACTACGAGCGACCTACGCAAAAGTACGCTACAACTGCCAACACTGCAAAAATCATCGCGCAACCCCACAGCCTCCAATAATGGCCGATCTTCCTCTAGAGCGACTTGATGCCTTTGCTCGACCCTTCACCCATATTGGCGTTGACTATTTTGGACCAATCGAAGTCGTCGTAGGTCGTCGAGTGGAGAAACGGTGGGGAATGTTGGTCACATGCCTGACCACTCGTGCGATCCACATCGAAGTAGTACACACTTTGAGTACCGCCTCCTGCATCATGGGCCTCCGAAACTTTGCAGCACGCCGCGGAATGCCCAAGACGATCTATAGTGATCACGGTACCTGCTTCATTGGCGCGAACCGCGAATTGGGAGAGGCAGCAACGGCGATCAACCAGGACGAGGTGATGAAGGAGTTCAGCGGTACCGAGACCACCTGGAAGTTCATTCCCCCAGCGTCGCCGCACATGGGCGGCAGTTGGGAACGCCTTATCGGTATAGTGAAGCGGAACCTCATGGAAATCCGCCCCTTGCACAAGCCTAACGACGAAGTGCTACGAAACCTTCTAACCGAGATCGAATGCACTGTTAATTCTCGGCCGCTTACACATGTTCCAGTTGATGATGAATCTGCACCTGCTCTCACCCCGAATCACTTCCTCCTGGGGTCATCCGACGGAACGAAACCGATATGTACCCTCGATGACAGCGGAACAGCACTACGGCGGACCTGGCGAATGTCTCAGCAGCTAGCCAACCAGTTTTGGAAACGTTGGCTAAGTGACTACTTGCCGGAGATCACTCGACGAACGAGATGGTATGCGAACACGAAGCCGATAGCGTTTGGCGATGTGGTGATCATCGTTGATCCGAAGCTGCCCCGGAACTGCTGGCCTAAAGGCAAGGTCATCGGAACTTACATCAACAAGAACGACAATCAGATCAGGGCGGCAACCGTAAGAACTGCGAACGGTGTGTTCGAGCGCCCTGTGGCCAAGCTGGCTATATTGGATGTACGGCGCGACGGACTGTAAGCCGATCAGAGGATCGGCGTACCCGGGAGGAGTGTTGAGTACGCCCCTGGCGCAGATGCGCACCTTCCCATCCAAGACACCTTGCCTACACAAACATCAACGCACCCAGGTATAGTACGCACCTTCTCTCCAAAGACGTTGGGCAAACGTCACGGATAAACAATGGATAGTAGGCAAACGCCAAAAAACATAAAACAACAATTTAACGTGCGGCATCAATGAGTTTGCGGTTTAAATTTAGTTAGTTTTTTCCATTGAAAGTTCAAGTCATTAAATTAAATTACTAGTGTAAAATCAGCTAGGTATAATTCTATTTCTAAAATTCGTTAAAATTATTATTTACAATTGATACCTTTTCCATAGTGTTTGATAAAAACTAGTGAACTTATCATAACCTAAAATCTACTTACATCCTAAACCTACAGTGAAGGTAAAATTTATAATCTAAAATACTAAGTAAATACTTAAATCTAGATTGCTTTAGTACGGTTTATAGGATTCAGTACGGATAAATTGTTTGCTAGATTGCCTGTTACGACGGCCACCGACAAAACGAGACGATCTCGTGCGACCCGTAATTTCGATCGCTTGCAAGTGTAGCACAACGGGACTAAACGTAAGTTACAAAAGAAAATTACTAATGGACTAATATTAAGATGCAAACATGTTCACTAACGTTACATCCTTCCTGAACCTTTTTCCAGGAATATAATAATATAATTAATGAACGTAAATCCCACGTCTTCGGTAGTTCTAATATTATTGTATTGAAAATCTCCCTGCGTAAGTTGGCAAATTCCCAACAGATACTCATTAATGGGTAAAAAATTTACTCATTTAATGAGTTAAGCCACTTTTCTTCAAAATGGGTCTTTTTCAACCATTAATGGGTACTTTCGAGTTAGCGTGTAAAGGGCGACACCTTATCCATTTGACAGGTCTTCTGTTCGATTGGTATAACTTTTCCTATTACTTTGACAGATAATCGATTGTACCAATTTTGACTTGTCGTCTCTTTATAAATTCAGGCTCCTTAGCGCAAACATTTCAAATGTTGATGTATTCGTAAATACCTACACTTAGAAAATTTAAACCTTTTTCTTTTTTGAAGATCGAAGATATCGAAAGAAAAAATCGATTTTTTCGTTCTTTTCGTCAACAAAGAATCGATCCGAAAAATCGGAAATCGAGATGAAAAAGATCGATCTTCCAAAGATCGATCCAAGATCGCCCAATCCTAATAAGGCCCATTGGAAGGTGAACAGTTGAGTTCATAATTTGTCTACCAGGTGGCACTAATTTGTTTTCAATTTATTTGCTTAACTTGACATCTTGAGTAGATAGATGGATTCTGTCTTTGGAAAAGTTGTTCATGTCTTCTTTTTCTTGTTCGCATTTCCAGTTTATTGCTTAGCGCATATTAGCTTATTGCGTGCTCTCAACTTAGTGTTCTAAATGCACTTCCACAGTTATTAATTGAGAGCTTTCGATGCCAATACCAATGCATGAATTTGTATATTGTGTTGCAAGCACAATGATACTCTATGCCCAGGGAAGTCGAGAAAATTTCCAACCCGAAAGATTCCCTCGACCAGACCGGGAATCAAACCCGCCGCCTCCGGCTTGGTAATACCGTGCCTTTACTGACTAGGCTATGAGGCCCCTAGTTGTTCATGTGAAAGAGACTTATTGGATGGTGTACATCACGCTAGTATACAATTTAACTTCGTATTGCTTTAACTTGCGACCTCGACTAGATAGAAGGTAGTGGTCTAGGACAAAGCTGTTCTGATGAATAAGACTTATTGGATGATAGACTGCTCAGTTCAGAATTCACTCACCAGGTGGTTGTACCTGTTTGGAACATGATTTCAAATGGAATAGGAACTGAATTTTTCAGTGCTCGCTCGGCTGTCGACAGAAGCAGACCACTCTCAATGTGTGTCCCGCGATCGTCTGTTTACTCGGCAGCAACCATTGTGTGGTCCTCCTCATTGTTCTTCATGAGCAGTTCTTTCAGTCGATGCGTCGTCGACTTTGGAAAGCAATCGTTTCGTTATGAGTGTGTGAGTGCTGATCACATTTTGCGTCCATTGCTGCAATGGAAGGGCTCTGATCCCCGTTGGCGAATCTGCCATACAATGAAACCACTGGAAGCGGCTCCCGTTCTGGTAAAGGAAGCTTATTGGATAGCCGAAGATAAAATGTTTATTGTGTTGTACATTTTGACTATAGTTTTTAGATGTACAGGGTGCGTGACGAATTTTTGCAGTAAATGGCATATTTGAGAAAAAAAAATACACCAGTTAGTTATTCTAGCAATGAATTTTGTGCGATTTATTTTCTTTCGCAACATATGGAAGTTGTAAGTAAATTTATTCAAAAAAATTGCCTTCCCTTTCGACGACTGTAGCTAGACGCTTCCGGAAACTGCAGTATGCACGTTTTAAAATGTTTCGATCCATAGATGTCATCACTGCCTTGATTTTAGCTTTTAGCGACTTAAGTGTAGTGTGAGGGGTTCTATTGGTATCCCGTTGGACGACGCCCTATACAAAATAATCCAACGGATTGATATCGGGACTGCTTGGGGGCCAAATTTCTTCCTTCCAAATTTACGAAATATTTTCCGTAAGCCATTTCTGTGCTTTATTAGCAGTATGAGCAGGTGCTCCGTCGTATCACTTTCCCAAGCCTTTTTTTAATATTATACACTGTTCTTTCAGACACATTTACCGACCGAATTATTTCTTTCATGCATACTCCTGCGCACAACAAAGCGACAACGGCTGACAGATTGCTCTATTGTTTCGACATCTTTACGTTTACTCAACATTGTTTGTTTAAATCTTACACCTAACAGTATAAGCTATCCAGTGCTGCCAAATATATCTAAATCATGATGCACAAGCATGAGAAATTTACTGCAAAAATTCGTCACGCACCCTGTATTGTATAGTGGACAAGAATCCTCGGCTTTGTGAAGTTAATTCGGTTGAGCCTTATCAAATTAATTAATAAAAAAAGGAACTTAATTTTTTAATTTGAAAATTGAATTCAGTTAAAGATAATGAATGTAGCCTTATTTATTTAAAAACTTTGAATTGAATGTTTTTGTTATTATTTTAGAAAAAGATTTATAAATCAATAATTTTGTACTTTTTATTATTGTATTGAGTAAATTGTTCTGAGCACCTGCTTCCAAATTAAAATATTATTATTAATAATCTGATTACAAGCAATACATATATATAAGAATGGACCAAATATGATTATCATATTTGGCCAGTTCTTCGATATTTATATTCTTTATTATCTTGTTTACTTTAGTTTGTGTACGAATGCGTATTTTTATCATTATATTGCACCTCTTGAACGCAAGTATGGTGGACGTAAGAAGTGGTATCAATTTTAATCGCTATGAAGCACAGCGGCCATATTTAAACAATTTTAATTCAATCCTCAGTGCTACGAATGTTCGGAACTTATTCGCCGTGAATTCAATCTCTTTGAACCCAAGTAAAGAAATCCAATCTTTTTCAACCGGCATCAAAGATTCTTTTCGATCGCTTTATCACTCTGCTAGAACAAAACATGTCAGAACCAACACAAATGAAAAAGACTAATTAATGTCCTCTAAGGCACCGTACGGGGAGTTTGATTATCGCAAAAGATTGAATTAATCTTTCCCCAAGAATTATAATAATAAGAAGAAGAACACCAACACCGCATGTGCTTGTCTCGTCGTGCATTCCCATAATCAATCTGTCTTAACATAAGTGGCACTTGTCAGTGACTTTAGTACGTGCTATCGGGCCCCATCCTAGCCACTGGAGCCTGCTAGTGAACGAAGCAAGACAAACAGGAATTTAATAAGTCCTGCAAACAGGCTGGATCTTCTTCTTGCTACGACAAACACCGAAAGAAATTTATGTGCCTATGCGTAAGTGTTCTGTGAGGTTTCGCCATTAATGAAAGTGTGTAGTTGGGTTCGTCGTGATCCCAGATGAAGGGGATGCTGTGCCTATGATGATGACGGAAATTGAGACGAGTGGTTCCTGGTTCAGTGTACGTGAGGTGAATGGTGGACCGGATCCCAAAGGAAAGGGGCTTATATTTATCTAGACAGAGAAGAGGTGTTTCCAAGGTGTCACGCTGTAGTGCTGCATAATTCTGTTGCCGTGGAGAAAGTGAAGGTGCTTCCAACCATACGTCGTCAAAATGTGGTACGTACTGAAAATTATAGAACCTTGAAAATCTCCTTTTGAACCGATTCCGCACCTGTCTCTGAATTGGCTATAATTCTCAATTAAGTCAAACCGCCTTCACCGAACGGGTTGCTGGCAGTGTCTGATAACGTGCCACTTTGTACTACAACGTGGTTATTATGCTAATGCTAACATTACCACACGTCGCGCTATCTCATCTATAAATCAATCCGAAGCCGAAAGCCGTCTGATTGCCTTCTGAGCGGGTCTCGCCACAACCGCGGTGGGTATTACCGACAGGCAGACGTGTGCAATATTAAATGGCGCTACTTAGCATATCACTATCTCGCGTGTGTCAGCACCTGTCTTCCTACGACGACGAGCCATGGGCAAAAGTGCGTATTGAATACGCAGTCTTATCAGCATGGGCCATCACCGCGCTTTTCTTATCATGGCCGTCGCATCTTGGGTAAAGACGTCTACGAAGACGCTTTCGGGCGCCATGTGCGTGTGAACCAGGTTACAGCGGATATTCTTTTCTCTTCAATAAGGACGCATTCAAACAGTGGGAGTCCATCAACGTCGTCGTTTACATTTAAGGCTTGATGGCTAGGAAAATTGTTTTGTATGGGTGTCGGTTATCACTCACCTTGCAGGTTCATGAAGCTTCATACCTGTAATCACGTTCAAAGTGTAGAATTTCTCCCCAGTATTACGTTGACTAGCTGATAGTGCCGGTACCTGTTACTTCACAGTAAACATGGTAACGACCAGCCTCGGTTATGTTTTGATACAATTCACAACTGACGACGCCTTGCTACGCATTCGCAAATGGGACTAACACGTTCGGTGGGCGGCAAACGACAACAATTTGATGATGTCTACTTTGTAGTACAAGGCGTACCTAGGCGTTGATGGTGACGATGTGTTTATAAATATTAGCACGATTATTATCGTCATTAAATTTCATTAGAGTGAACGTCCCTACGGCTGGCGAGTGGCAAGGGCTAGATGGCTGCTACTCAGCTGGTAGGAACTGGTGATTGCAGTCATCTTCCTGCGATTAATGGAATGGATGGAACAGATACAGGTACTAGGACTGGCGAAGGGCCATTGTATTGTGTCATGTAATCAGTGTTATGGCTAATTAGGTGCTTGGAGCCACATGAAACTGTTTATTAAAAGTAGATTGATTCAATGAGTTAATCGATGGTCTGACGGCTTCAAAAGGTTCAATTTTATCAATTAATTGAAATCTTAATTAAACTAGTGTATTCATACAATTTATTGAACGATATAAGGACACACATTTATTCGTACCGAGTAGAATCCTTCGGAGTGGAAAAATCCCAAACTGGAGATGGATCAAGTGAAATTTCCAATGATTTTCATTAACATTGAGAAGAATGGCGTTTGAAAATTAATACAACGTTAAGGTTTATTAGATATTTTAACAGGACTCTTCAAAATTCATGGTTTAAATGATCATCATGAGTCATAATGAGGGTTTTGCTAAAATGCTTTGAAAGATAAATACAATTATGAATCTTCGAAAACTTAAACCTACTCCGAAAGCGCTGGTCAGAATTTTTCTAGAATTTTAGTAAGATTTCTGCAAATGTCATAAACAGGACTATCCATGAATCCTAGCCAGCATTCTCCAAGAATTACTAGCGGGATTTCCAATAACTTTTGTCAGTATTTGCCTAGAAGAATAGTTCAGATTCTCCAAAGATTCCAGTCTTTATTATTCACAATTCCAGTTGGAATTCCTCAAGAATCCTATTCTGGATTCTTTTAGAGCCCCTGTTATGATTCTTCAAGATTCCTGGTCAGGACTCTTGAAGAGTCCAAGTTAGGATTGTCCAAGCATCCTATTTACGATTCTTCTAGAGTTCCAGTTATGATTCTCCAATAATCCTAGTCAGGATTCTTAAAGAGACCAAGTTAAGATCCTCAAAGTATCCTAGTCAGGTTTCTTCAGGAAACGTAGATAGGGTTCTTCAAATACCGTAATCATAGTTCTTGATGAATCCTAGTCTGGTTTCTTCCAAAATTAGAGACTGGGTTGTCAATGCATTCTAGACTGGGTCGTCCAAAACATTCAAATCAAGATAATCCAACAGTCTTAGGCAGGATTCATCCAAATTCCTAGACAGTAACCTTTCAGAATGATAATCAGGCTTCTAGCTGAATCTCAATCAATATTTTTCAAGAGCATCGTGAAGATTCTACCAGAATTCTATCCTGGATTTTTGCAAGGTCCAAGTCTGGATTTTTCTTGTTTGTTAGTCAGGCGACTAACCATAGTCTCGAAAAGTTTATCATTCACACGACGAATGACAACGACCCAAATTTGTGTTTAGTTAACTTATAAATCACATAAAGTGCAGGTATGAACCGATGAGTTTTTTTGCCTCGAGTTTTTGTTCAACGATTTTTGTCAATTTTCAAGTGTCCATGGTTTTTAACATTCCAAAAGTTTGTATTTTGCATAAGCCTTATAATAATAAAAAAAAAACTACAAAGGACAGCCTTAAGGAGTTGTACGCAATGGTGACGTAGGACTACGTGTTCTTATAATATTATATAATAATAAAGATTATTTTTGAACTGCAGCAGGAGCTTGTGTTTCGTGTAGGAATAGGAATTTCAGCGGGGTGCTCTCTGTTTATACTCTTTAGTATGACACGCTTGGCAAAGAGCTACTGATTCCAATCAATAGCGGTGCGGCTTCTTCCTCCTTCTATGGATGCTCATGTGGGCTGAAGTTCTCTGCTTGCAGGCAGCCTTCGTTGTATACTGGAGAACACCACCACTCATCACGCGGTGATTGAATCAACACTGTTTGGTGAAGCCGGATGGAATTCAACTTTGAAATCTGTGTTAGGGAAATCGCTTTTCGCAGGCAATCGGTGATAATTTTAATTATCATAGCAACAGTTGCACATTCGTGCAATTTTCAACAGTGACATTTTGATCATGCTGAGCCAAACACAGATGAGGCTGGTGAGCTTTATGCTGTTTGGAATGAGGGTGACGCGCTTGGCATAGATGGCCCACAGTGACTCACGAAGAGCTACTAATTCCGATCGATAGCTGTGCGGCTTCTTCCTCCTTCAATGGATGCTCATGTGGGCTGCAGCTTTCGTTGTGTACTGGAGAACAATTTTCAACGCCACGCGCCGAAAGCACTGCTGCTGATGCCGACGACTGGACACCACCACACACGGTGATTGGAACTGAATCCGATCAGCGGTTGAAGCCAGCCTTGATAATTAGCTGCTGGCGGGCAGCCTTTCCTTGTGTATTGGAAAACACCACCACTCACTACGCGGTAATTGATTAAACAACGTTTGGTAAGACCTGATGGATAGCGGCGCCGGTGGTGTAGTGGTAAGCGTGATTACCTCTCACCCCAGCAGGCCTGGGTTCAATCCCAGTCGGCGCCGCCGAGATGTTCTGAGGCATAACATCTCTGATCACGCCTTCCTTCGGATGGGAAGTAAAGCCGTTGGTCCCCGGTTCATGAGTTGATGGGTCGATAGGTAGGGTCCAGGTGTGGGAGCTGCCTTCCTGGCGTCGGTAGCATTGGTGCTCAGCACGGAAAACAAGATCGACGGAAAACAAACCAAAGGAAAAAAAAAAAAAAAAAAAAAAAAAAGACCTGATGGAATTCAACTTTGAAATCTGTGTTAGGAAAATTGCTTTTCACAGGCAATCGGGGATAGTTTTAATTATCATAGCAACAGTTGCACATTCGTGTGACATTTTGAAAAATGATGAAGTCTCAAATTTGACAGATACGTAGAAATATTTCTGATCGATTGGTGATACATTTATTAATATTGGTCCAGGGGCATCTGAGTTATTAACGTTGAAAATCTTTCATAATTTTGTTACATGTTCCATTTTCGGTTTTCACAAAGTGTACCCCCATATAGAAATCACAGACGCAGTCCTACGTCAAAAAAAAAATGAAAAGTTGGGTAGGGACATTTTGAGATATTTTTTAAAATTTTATTTTGAATTCATTCTTAAAATAAAATAAAAATATACATGTTCTGTTCATATTTCCCAGAAAAAAAATCTCTACATCTTTGTCTCAGACATCAATGTGATTAGAAATGCCATTTCCGTGCAATAATTTTATGAAAAATTCAAGGACGGTATTTTGATAATTTTACAAGATCGAAAATGGCCAAATTTTAGTAAACATGTGAATCATTGCCCAAAACAAACAGTTACGTAAACTTTGATACAAACCGGAGAAAGTCCATAAAAAAAATCAATCATTTAACAATATTTTACCTAAAACTACTCAAAAGATTTTTCCAGAGTCCTAGCAAAGAACCTCCATGAATCCTAGGTAGCATACTTCAGGAATCATAGGCAGGATGCTCTAAAAGTCCTGTTAAGGGTTCTCTATGAATTCAAGAAATAATTCACTAAGAGCACTAGGTAGGATTCTATTAGAATACTAGCCAGCATTTCTACAGAAGCCTTGCAAGAATCTTGCCTTTTTTTCTTTTTCCTCGCATTTCAAGCAATTCTTAGACCGGACCGGGAATCGAACCCAGCCACCTCCAGCATAGTCTTGCTTTATAGCTGCGCCTTTACCGACTGAGCTAAGGGAAGTCCCTGCTAGGAATTTATATTAAATCTTTCCAGGATGTGCATGCATCTAGTTTGGATTTTTTTTCAGAATTATAGGCATTAGAAATCTAAGCCACGTTTTGTTATTCAGAATTTTTGTCAGGACCGTTTTAGAATTCTTGTGAGAATTTTCATAGAACCTTATTTTTCAGCTTCCTAGCATCTCAGAAAGAAGTTTTTCCCCAAAATCTTGGTTAAGGTACTCCCAAAATGCTGTGAGGTCCCCCAGAATCTTATTCAAGATTTTCATGAATTGAAGTCATGATTCTGAAAGAGTCCCAGACAGGTTTCAGTAAGATTCCTAGATACTGTTCTATTAGGATCGTAAACAGAATTCTGCTAGAATTTTATCCAGGATACTT